TGTCCCAGGTCTGATTGCCCCCGGGGTCCCGCTGACTCTGGTCTGGACTGCACCACCCCTGTTATTTCCGCAGGCCTGAGCTGGGCAGAGGAGACAAAGGCAGACGGGAGACTTGGAATTCTCACAACAAAGACCAAGGACTCAAGCTTTGTCAAAGCCGAGGTGGCAGGGGTCCATGTCAATCACCCCTTGATTTCCACAGCCCCCCAAGTCCTTCCCTGAGGCCTCCACGTGATCATGCCTGTCTTAGGCAATTTGCCCCTTGGGAAATCTTACCCATTATTGGCTAACTGATCAAGCATTGGGGTCTGGCACAGAACAGGCAGCGTTCATGCCAGGGAAATAAGTTTTGTTTCCTTAGTGTCTCCTGGTTCAGAGGTCTCTTACTCAGCCTTAGCCACGGCGTGGGGGGGGGGGGGGTTGGTTACAGCTTCCTCAGACCAGGCAGGGCGGATCCCAATGGTCCAGCACAAAAACACCCCTTTTTTATTACAAAATCATTTATTACAAAATCATAAGCATGTAATTCTGTAACATAACAGTATCATACTCAACCACACCCTATGATGTTTTAGGTGAAATATTCAAATTAAAACTATAAATTCTCACATCCATATTATTACCCTAACAACCACACTGAAGTAGGTTTTGCCTCTGCTGGATCGTGTACATCCTCAGGCACTGGAAATAAAAGAAATAATTAAAAAATGGGACTACATTAAACTAAAAAGTTTTTGCACAGCAAAAAAAAACCATCAAAAAATAAAAAGACAACCCACAGAATGGAAGAACTTATAGGCTGATCCATGTGATCAGGGCTTAATATCCAAAATTTATTTTGAAACACTTATAAAGGCCCTGGCTGAGGTAGGTCAGGACTGAGCGCAGGCTGTGAACCAAAGTGTAGCAGGTTCGACTCCCAGTTAGGATACATGCCTGGGTTGCAGGCCATGACCCCCAGCAACTGCACATTGATGTCTCTCTCTTTCTCCCTCCCTTCCTGCTCTAAAAAATAAATAAATAAAATCTTTAAAAAAAATCGAACTTAAAAAAAACTTATAAAAACATGGGAGAATGCTGGAGGGAGGGGGTACAAAATCATAAGCATGTACTGCTTATGGGGGTAAAGGGCAGAGGGGAATTAAGGGGAGAAAAAACTGAGAAAACTGTAATAGCATAATCAATAAAATATATTTAAAAATACATTTGCTCTTTAAAAAGTCACTTCCCTTTAAAACAAGCTTTTGAACATACAATTTTATTCTATTTATTCCAACCTACATGCCTCACATCTGCTTCTCCGAAGTTTTGTGTCAAGCAGCACCCCAAACAATTGTTATGTGGAAGTTTCCACATCTGGGCAATCTTTGCTTTCCACAGTTTTCATTATGCAGGATTCCAGTAACCATGGTTTCGTTAAATAACGCGTTTCCCAACAACACAGTTCAGACTGCAGTACCACCATACATTAACGATGAGTAACTGCACAAAGTACCAACTTTGCTGCTATTTCTTCAGTCCAGAAACCACTATGTGAATAAGAGTTGGGCATACTACCAGTGACCAGTCACTTCACATCCTTCTAAGTCTGTCTGATGAGTCACTGCACGTTTGTCACTCAGCTCACTTAGACAGCAAAGCTATCTAAGTAATGTTGCCTCCATGTCTGACAGTGGTAAGTGAAGTCATGCGACATTCTATAAAAATAGTCAAAAAAGAAAATCAGCCCACAAAGATAAACGTGCAGGCAAGAGAGAAAAACTGGGAATGCTGGAAGTGAAATATAAATCAAATGGAAATAGTTACAGAAGAAATGCCCCACCACCTGAATGTCTGAGACTCCAGAGAAGGAGCCAGAAGAACTTGGTGAAAGTGAGTTTATGTATGGAAATGAGGGAAGTAACTGTGAAGAAAGGATGACAATGTTCCAGAGGAAGTGGAAAGCTTCAGAATAAACTCTCAGAGAGATTTCCTAACAGTGAAAGCACAAAGGATAAAACACTGGAAGCTGATCCTAACTAAGGAGTATGAGAATTCATCAAAGCATAGAAGATATGCTTGTGCTGCATCACAAACTGTATAATCAGAAGAAAAAGGGGAGCATTGTTCAAACTGCACTTGAGAAACTTATAAAGAAATAAAACACTAATTCTTAATGTCTCTAGTGTTTAATACAGTATACTAAACAAATGTAAGTTTACTATTTTATTATTTCCTATACACTGTAACCACAAGAAAAGTTTTTAAGCATTTAGCAAACATTTTCAAATGTCACAGAATGATCATAATTTATCTCACTTAGTAGGACTCATTTGAAGTTTCAGTTTGAATGGTCATTTTTACCACCTCATACTGTTGTGTCAAGGGAGGACTGCCTGTATTATTTCATGATATCAACTGCAAACGTTTATCAAGAGCACCCTGGTTCCCAACTAACCTAGAAGAACCCACTAGGCCTGTTATCAAAGATTCAAGACAGAAATACGCTGGCCTGCTGCACTTCAGCTCTTCTATTATTTACTTCCCTGGCTCTATGTTATGTTCTGCATGTGCAAATCTCTTCCATGACTACTCCCAAGTTGTGTCCATATCCAAGTGTCTTCATCTCGAAGGTGGGAAAACAAAATCATGCTGTCCAATTTTTCCATAAAAGGGCTGGGGAAAATCAGGCTTATGAGACTGAGTGGCATGCCTAGTACAGCACACTTGATCAATCAGGAGCAACAGGGGCATTAAAACACAGTTCTGCTTCCAGTATACACAATGATACCTACTTCTGAAGAGGTTAGTTCGGTTTTATTTTCCACTCATATGATTACACAGACCTACTAGCAGAGAAAAAATATTCCATATTTTCTGAGCCTCTCATTACTTAGACATTTTGCAACACCAGTAGAACTTAATAAGAAATTTTCAAACATTTCACGCTGTCTGGATCCTGGGATGGAAAATGGACATTAGGTAAAAACTAAGAAAATGTGAGTATACTACAGACTTCAGTTAATAATGGGTCACTATTGGTTCATTATTAGTGCCAATGTCCCACACTAGTGTAAGATTACAGGAAATTGAGTATGAGCTAGAAGGGAATTCACAACTTTCCTGTAAATCTAAAACCATTGTAGAAGAAAGATTTCTTTAAAGAGCTATTAACACTAATGTTTTATTAGTGCTCGGAAATAATGAAATTTGTGAATCACAGATACTGTGCGTACTAATTTCTATTCCCTAGAGTAGTGTTCTTTAAGCTATGCCCTGCAGAATCTGCTAGGAAGGGAAGTGTGAAAGCCACTCTCTAGTCTAAAGGACAGTACGAGGCATGATTTGAGGAATATTCCAATTCATAGTTCCTCAAAACAGAGAGAGCACTAGACTGAGGGTAAAACAGAACCTGCATTCTAATACTGAATTAGTAACCAACTATGTAAAACATTTTCTATTTTTAAGCCTCAGTTTTCTCATCTGCAAAATAAGAGCAACCAAGTATGTTTTAGCTTAAAGGTCTCAGTCCAACTAGAATTTTTTCCCAAAATTTTTCTTCTACTAAAAGTAAAATATATGATTTAGATAATGATATTAAAATACAATGCTTTAAGAAGGATCAAAATCTATTTGTCAGTTTTTTTCTCTTTTTGGCCTATTATCAAACAACAGTATTTTTTATCAAGAAAGAATTTTTTTAAATTATTTTATTTATTTTTTGAGAAAGAAGAGGAGAAGAGGAGGAGAAAGAGGGAGAGAAACATCAATGTGTGTTTGCCTCTCATGTGTCCCCTACTGGGGACCTGGACCACAACCCAGGCATCTGCCCTGACTGGGAATCGAACCAGCAACCCTTTGGTTTAAAGGATGGCACTCAATCCACTGAGCCACACCAGCCAGAACTATCAAGAAACAATATTTTGACTTAAAATCTAACTCACCTAATTTTACATTTCAAGTTATATCACATTTACTTCACAAATATACAGGTACTGTGTACCTCTCTTACTACCAAGAAACAAACAATACAAAATGTAGCTAATAAAAATATAATTTAAAAATAGTTTCAAAACACAGTCTAAAGTTTTTTCTGCACTCATTTCTCTACCAATTTGATAACACTGTCAATGAATTAAAATGTGGAAAACGGACAAATGTAATCATTTTCAATTCACTGGGGCAAACTTTTAGCAACAGTATCAAAACAAATTTCAGTTGTTTAAGAAAGCTCAATTACCTGCTCCAAAGACCTTCTTTTTAATTATTCTAAGTTTCAAATTTCATAAGCCCAAAGACAGAATTAAACTGCAACAATAAGCCCTGGCTGGCATAGCTCAGTGGATTGAGCTCGGGCTGTGAACCAAAGTGTCGCAGGTTCGATTCCCAGTCAGGGTACATGCCTGGGTTGTAGGCCATGACCCCCAGCAACCTCACTCACATTGATGTTTCTCTCTCTCTCTCTCTCTTTCTCCCTCCCTTCCCTCTCTAAAAATTAATAAATCAATAAAAATCAGTTGTCCTTCTCTCTCTAGCAATGAAGAATCCTATTTCTCATTCCCTTCCTCTATCTCTAAAAATGAATAAATAAAATCTTTAAAAAACTGCAACAATAAGACTAACTATAAACTGGAAAATGCAGACTTCCTATGTAAAATATGCTAATAATCTAGTAGCAACTTCCTCAGAATCTACATTTGACATCCAAAAATGACTAAACATGGTTAACAAAAAGTATCTGCATTAATATCATTTACTATTTGGTCTTTTCAAAATATTTCCACATTCTCTCATATGTTTAATGTTAGACAATAATCATGTTTAAATGAACAATGCAATCCATAACATAAAAACTATCAATCAAATTAAAATGCACCATTTTATTACTAAATTTTCAAGGACCTGCTAAGTACAATTCTTAAAAACTTATGGCTCCATCACATGCACACTCGATTTCAAACATCAAGTACAGTAACTGAAGTTGTAACACGAAAAGCTCACTTTTCTTTGTCCCCCTCCCCAGGGGGTGCACCCTTCCCAGAAGTACTGCAATACAGGCTGGATGCACTGAGTGAACGGAGCAAGCTCCTATTCCATCTCCCAGCTCCAAAATTCCATTGAATATAATGCCTGAGAGAGCACGCATCAGATATTAAACTGATACGAACAGATACCACACTTGATCTCAGCCAAAAGGCCGAGAAGTAAGGAAAGATCGATTTTGGAAGAATCCTTGCTTTATTAGTTACTCTGACCCGAAAAATACTGAAATATTTCCCCAAAGCTAACATCGTTGAAAATCGTACCCCTTTTGACACCTGTAAAATATTCAAGGTGAGATTTATGACATTTTTTCATTAAGGCGTATGTAGACTATACCCTTAGGTATTACCTTAAAAGCACCAATCACAATACACTAAAGCCTTACATTTCAGCACATAAAAGTGATTTGAAAATCACTTTTATTATGCAGTGAGAGCATGAAATATTAAATCACACTGATCTATAATCTGGTTTCCAAAGGTCATACGTATTCATATTTTTAAGGATAAAACACTTTTAAATGGTCAAATTTCTAAAACTCATCGTTAAAACTTGCTCTCCAAGTCCGTGCTCATAGGAAACTAAACACTGTACACAGGAGCTCATCTAAGAAACCACTTTTAATCAGCTTTCATTGTCTTCTGAGCTTTTATTTTGTTTGCACTGCAGTTTTTCACTTAATGAAAACAGGCAATTAAGTATTAAATCAGATAAGAATGGTCATCTTCCTATTATTACGAACAGCAACAGTCCTCTTCTCCTTAGTCCTCTCCTCCTCTAACCATGTCAAGGAGAGTCCAGGGGAAGTGGACCTCCACTAGACCAGGGATGCTCCCTAACCAGACACCCCCTCCCGTGCCAGAGGTTCAGACCCGCCCACCTTCGGCCTTCCCATTTTCCTCCCACTCCACCTTCCACCTAAGATTCAGACATGCACCCGCAGGACTCTGCATTTGCGCCGGCATCACCCCGCCTCAGGCTTGCGAGGCCGGGGAATGAGCACTACCCGTCGCCACCAATGGCCGCCCAGAGACCTTGGCGCCGGACCCTCCCAGGTCCCGGATTTCTCTCGCCAAGAACCAGCCATCTGAGAAGACGCACTCTGGCTTCACCCACAGGGTAAGCGCTCAGCTGCCAGCAGCAGACAGCCGGGCAGAGCCCGGTCGAAGTGGGAAATCACTTAGCCCCGCCCATGAACCGACCTGTGGAGACCAACTCCTCCTCCTGCTGTGGACGCAGCCGTCCTCACGCACTGCGGCGTTGTGCGTCGCTTTCCGGAACTCCCCGCCCAGCCTGGCTCAACTTCTGTTCTCGAGTAACCTGAACTGCGCACCTTGCCAAGGGTGCTTTGGCTAGGTGGGAGGAGAATGCGGAGCTTTGCTACCCTGTTGGCAGCTTTCCGAGATTCTGATATTAATTCAAAATAAAACGTTAAACAAGGAGTTTTTTGGAAGACAAAGCTGAGTTAATCACCATAATAGAAAGCAAAGACAAAGAGAAAATACTTTTTAAAACCATGTGCAATGGGGCTGAGTTAAACCAACACAGCCTGCCTTTGAGAAGTGCTAGAAGGAAAAACGTGCAGAGGTTTTCAAACTCTTGGTTTAAAGTTTCCAAGGGGGGAGGATGGAAGCAAGAGAGGGAGGTGGGTTTGGAGGGGGTAAGGGGAGTAGGGAGAAAATGCGGACAACTGTAGTTAAACAATGAAATAATTTTAAAATATAAAGTTTTACATACCCATATTTTACCATGTGCGATGCACACTTTTTTGGCTTCATTTTTCAGGAGAAAATAACGCTGTGCATTATACACAGGTAGTACCTGAAATACCTTGTATCTGTCCTTGTGTTTTGTATTATTTGTTCCATAAAATTAGTTGTACCATAATATGTTCAAAAATAAATGCTAAAATTCTTTTTTTATTTTAATCATTCTTCAAGTACAGTTTTCTCTCTTTTACTCCCATTCCAACCCACACATCTACCCATCCTCACTTCCCTCCCATTACCACCCTCCCCCTAGATTTTGTCCATGTGTCCTTTAAATTTGTTCCTGTAAACCCTTCCCAATCTCCCCTGAAATTCCCTCTTCTCTCCCCTCTGGTCACTGTCAGCCTGTCCTCTATTTCAGTGTCTTTGGTTATATTTTACTTGTTTCTTTTGTTTTGTTGTTTAGGTTGCTGTTAAAGGTGAGATCATATGGTATTTGTCTTTCACTGCCTGGCTTGTTTCGGTTAGCATAATGCTTTCCAGCTCCATCCATGCTGTTGAAAAGAGTAGGGCCTCCTTCTTTCTTTCTGCTGCATAGAATTCCATTGTGTAAACGTACCATCGTTTTTTGATCCATTCATTTACTGATGAGCATCTAGGTTGCTTCCAGCACCTAGCTATTGTAAATTGTGCTGCTATGAACATCGGGGTGCAAAGGTTCATTTGTATTGGTATTTTAGTGTTCTTAGGATATAGTCCCAGCAGTGGAATTGCTGGGTCAAAAGGCAGATCCATTTTTAGTTGTCTGAGGAAGTTCCATACTGTTTTCCATAGTGGTTGTACCAGTCTGCAGTCCCACCAACAGTGCACTAGTGTCCCCTTTTCTCCACAACCTCTCCAACACTTGTTGTTTGTTGCTTTGTTTATGATGGCCATTCTGACCTGTGTGAAGTGGTATGTCACTGTGGTTTTAATTTGTGTCTTTCTGATAGCTAGCAATATTGAACATCGTCTCATGTGTCTTTGGATCCTCTGTATGTCCTCCTTGGAGAACAGGTCCTTTGCCCATTTTTAATTGGGTTGCTTGTCTTCTTGGAGTGGAGTTGTGTAACTTCTTTACATATTTTGGAGATTAAACCCTTGTCTGAGGTGTCATTGGCAAATATGTTTTCCCATACAGTTGGTTCTCTTTTTATTTTGATACTGTTTTCTTTAGCTGTGCAGAAGCTTTTTATTTTGATGAGGTCCCATTTGTTCATTCTTTCCTTTATGTCCCTTGCTCTAGGGGACATGTCAGTAAAAAAGTTTCTGCGTGAAATATCTGAGATTTTCCTACCTACATTATCCTCTAGGACTTTAATGGTGTCACAGTTTATATTTAAATCTTTTATCCACCTTGAATTTATTTTTGTATAAAGCATAAGTTGGTGCTCTAATTTCATTTTTTTGCAGGTAGCTGTCCAGTTCTCCCCACACCATTTGTTGAAGAGGCTGTTTTTACTCCATTTTATGTTGCTGCCTCCTTTGTCAAATATTAATTGACCATAGGAACTTGGGTTTATTTCTGGGCTCTCTGTTCTGTTCCACTGGTCCATGTGCCTATTTTTATGCCAGTACCAGGCTGTTTTGATTACAGTGGCCTTGTAGTATAGTTTAGTGTCAGGTATTGTGATCCCTCCTACTTTACTCTTCTTTCTTAAAATTGCAGCAGCTATTCGGGGTCATTTATGGTTCCATATAAATTTTTGAGGTGTTTGTTCTATATCTGTGAAATAAGCCATTGGTACTTTAATAGGTATTGCATTGAATGTGTAAATTGCTTTGGGTAGTATGGACATTTTGATGATATTAATTCTTCCAATCCATGAACAAGGTATATGTTTCCATTTGTTTGTGTCTTCCTTGACATCTTTCCTCAGTGTTATGTAGTTTTCTGAATACAGGTCTTTTACCTCTTTGGTTAGGTTTATACCTAGGTATTTTATTTTTCTTTTTGCTGTTTCAAATGGGATTTTTTTCTTGATGTCTGCTTCTGCTGTTTCCTTGTTGGTGTACAGAAATGCATTTGATTTCTGGATATTGACTTTGTACACCCCTGTTTTACCAAATTCATTTCTTAGGTCAAGCAGTTTTTTGGTGGAGTCTATAGGATTTTCTATGTACACAATCATGTTATCTGCAAACAGTAACAGCTTTGTTTCCTCCTTTTCAATTTGGATGCCTTTTATTTCTTTTTCTTCTCTGATTGCTGTGGCTAAAAGTTCCAGTACTATATTGAATAGAAGTGGTGAAAGTGGACAGCCTTGTCTTGTTTTTGATCTTAGTGGAAAAGATTTTAATTTTTACCCATTGAGTACGATGTTGGCTGTACGTGTCTCCTATATGGCCTTTATTATGTTGAGGAATGCTCCCTCTATTCCCACTTTGCTAAGTGTTTTTATCATGAATGGGTGCTGTACCTTATCAAATGCTTTTTCTGCATCTATTGATATGATCATGTGGTTTTTGTCTTTGCTTTTGTTTATGTGATGTATTACATTTACTGATTTGTGAATATTGTACCATCCTTGCATCCCTGGAATGAATCCCACTTGTTCGCGGTGTATAATCTTTTTAATGTATTGTTGGATGCGTTTTGCCAGTATTTTGTTGAGGATTTTAGCGTCAATGTTCATCAGTGATATTGGCCTGAAGTTTTCTTTCTTGTTGTGTTTTTATCTGGTTTTGGAATCAGGATGATGCTGGCCTCATAAAAAGAGTTTGGGAGTCTTCCACCTTGTTGGACTTTTTGGAATAGTCTGTGAAAGATAGGGGTTAGCTCTTCCTTAAATGCTTTGTAAAATTCTCCTGTGAAACCAACTGGTCCAGCGCTTTTGTGTTTTGGGAGTTTTTTGATTACTGCTTCAATTTTATTTGCTGTTATTGATCTGTTCAGGCTTTCTGCTTCTTTTTCAGTGAGTTTTGGAAGATTATATTTCTCTAGAAATTGTCCATTTCACCTAGGTTTTCAAATTTCTTGGCATACAGCTCTTTGTAGTAATTTCTTACAATCCTTTGTATTTCTGTGGTGTCAGTTGTAATCTCTCCTCTTTCATTTCTGATTGTGTTTATTTGTGTCTTCTCTCTTTTTTTCTTGATAGGTCTGCTTAAAGCCTTGTCTATTTTGTTTATCTTTTCATAGAACCAGCTCTTGGATTCATTGATCCTTAGAATTGTGCTTTTAGTCTCTATGTCATTTAATTCTTCTCTGATCTTGGTTATTTCCTTCCTTCTGCTTGCTCTGGGCTGTCTTTGTTGTTGTTTCTTGACTTCTTTTAGAAGTAGCGTTAGGTTGTTTCTTTGAAAAATTTCTACCTAAAAAAATTTTAGGTATGCCTATATCACCATGAACTTCCCACTCAGGACTGCCTTGGCTGTGTCCCATAAATTTTGGGTTCTTGTGAGTTCATTTTCATTT